TAGTTTTCTGCAAAAATGGGCTGAAAACGCCAATACATGTATTTTTAGGTCAAATTTGTCAATTATAAAACATTTGGGCTGAAAATATAGAACTTTATAAATTAATGGGCTAAAATGTTATTTTGAACTAAAATAGACCAAAAATGACATTTTTGTGAAATAAGCCTTTAAATGTCTCAAATTAGTTTTAAGAAGTTTAAAGCGCAAGTTTTATTAAAATTAAGTTCAAAATTGTAGAATTACGACATAACAAACTATACTATAACGAACAAACGAAATACAACAATGGTGCGATTATTGGGCCTAGTAATTGCTATACATGTTTATTAGGCCTTCGTGGTCATATTACATGTTTATTGGGCCCAATGTATTCATCACATGTCTATTGGGCCTAAGTGACCCACATGCTAAATGGGCCAAATTTAGCATTTACATGTTAGTGGGCCTTAGTGAGACATTTACATGCTGATTTAGCCTGAAAATAACTTACACGACCAATGGGCCACAGTTGCCTTTTCTTCATGTTTGTTGGGCCTTATCTTATCATTTCAAACATTATCTAATGCTCGAACTTCTAAATACATTTAACATTATACAAATTCATGTGAATACAAATGGGATCTGGAGAGACGTGTCGGTTGACACCACTAAGTGTATGGCTGTAGCTTGCAGTTATAATCAGAGTGTCCTGGAGGGAGAGCGAGAGTTTGTGTATAGATCTATACGGGGGTGACTCCCCCACACCTGAGTTGTTCGCTACAGTTAGACTAGGCCAGTCTAGGGTGACAAAACCTTGAACGAAAATCCGGCATTTGGAAAAATGCCAAGACAGGCAAATCAGTCACTGTCATGTATGATTATAACGACTCATATAGAGATCCATTCCCATTAGGACATTACGGAAAATTAAAAACTCTTAAGTCATAATGATACAAAACATTTCTACAGTGCAAGGACCGTGACATTTTTATAAATCAGAAAATATCGGATTTTCTGGGGAAATATTATTATTCAAATACTACCTACATACAACAGAAAGAATACAAATAGATTTGAACTGTTTTTCTATATGATACTACTATGAAATTCACACATGAATTTATACTCGATTTTCACATCATTTTTCGGACATTTTACAGAAAATATCGGATTTTCTGGGTTTACAAAAGATACAGACTTTTATTCAAACATGCTTATGAACTCACCAACATTATATATGTTGACCGTTTTCAAAATAACTTGTATTCTTAGGTAATCGTTAAGATGAATAATCGTCGACAGTATTTTGGGATTTCTTTAATGCATATGTCAATTTTCGTACAACTTATGTCTTCGGATTATGTATTGTAAAACAATGTACTTGATGTGAACACTGCCAGTTTTTATATGTAATGTTGGTGACAATTGTGTTATGTTTCACGTATATTCATTGTGATGATATTTCAATTGATAGTCACACGAGCCCCCGGACGTTTCCGCCGTCTAGTTCGGGGGTGTGACAACAAGTGATTTGGATTCAAATCCAATTGAGTGATTATGCAATCAACATGAAGAAAATACCTTTATATTGTGATTCACAAAGCGCAATTCGAATTTATCATAATCCGATCCAACACTCGAAAACAAAACATATTGCTCTTCGATATCATTTTCTCATAGACCATGTTGAATATGGCAACATTGAAGTCTATTTTTGTCAAAACAACAGATCAACTTGCTGACATTTTCACAAAACCTTTAGATGAAATTCCATTCTTAAGGATGAAATTCCATCTAAAGGATGAAATTCCTTTAGATGATGGAAGCATGTTCAGTTCCTCATTCTGAATGACTCTGACACAAACATAAGTTTTATTCTACTTTCGATTGTTACGGTTACTTTCGATTAGTAGGTATTTGCTTTGTGTGTTTTAACTCAATTTCGACTGTTTGTGATTCATTCAGAGGTTACTGTTCATATTCAACATTCGACTACATTCGCATTCAACTTCTCTCTGAATCGTTCAGTGCAAAATTCTAATTCGCGTCCGTGGAGAGGCTTTCGCCGCTCAACTTATGTTTGCCAACTGCTAGACTATGTGTCGAACACATCTAGGTAAGATTTTTTGTTTATTTCTTTTTGTTCTTGCTGTGTTTTTCAAAAATCAAAAATCCAAAAATATTTTCTTATTTTTGCCGAGTTTTTCAAAAATCAAATATCCAAAAATATTTTCTTATTTTTGTCTTTGTTATTCAAATTTTTTTTAAAATAATCCAATTTTTTTTTCCTATTTTTGACTTAGTTTTTCAAAAATAAAAAATTCAAAAAGATTTTCTCAAATTTGTTTCTCTTTGATAAAACCAAAAATACAAAAATATTATCGTTAAAGTGTAATTGTAAGACCAATATGCTTTTTCGCATGCCAAACGCACATATTCCTCAAGGGAACAAGTATTACTCGAAACTTTGTACTCGTTACGTGTCCCTAGAAGCATGTTGTTGTATGTTGTCCTCTAAGCCTTAATGAAATCTTTCAAACGAAAGTTTCTTCCCAATCAAACTATATTCACAATAGTCGAAGAGCTATCCTACTCTTATCATGACGAGTAAAGAGTTTTCTTCTTGGTCCAAGTTTTAGAAGAGGTACAATGAGCTCTTTCACCAAATTTTTTTCATCAAAATTTCTTTCACGATCAAAATCAACACTACATATCCTCAATGTCTCTGGTCGAAACCTACCAAAATGTAGATATGTCAAAATTCTGTGTTTATGATCCTGAGTCATTTTTCAAGGAATTGTGTTGTCCTCTACCCAACAAACCTAAGTATCAAGGAATTGACGGTGAACAACATTGTTCAAAATTTTCAGGAAACAACTGTTTCCTTGTACGATTCGATATTCAAAATCTCATTCTATCGGAATTGCATGATCTTGATAAAATGTTCTACCACCAAGACATTTTTGCCCACAAAGATCCAGGATTTTATTTTTGTTGGAATGAGATTTTTGTCTGAATATCTTTTCTGAACTTTTGTCACTCAAAATCATCACCAACCATACTTGTTCTTTACTACACTTGTCATCGAAGTAATTTTGCTCAAATTGGATCACACTTATGTTAAGTTGTGACTTTGTGAAAAATTGAAGCCGCCTTCGAAACCAAAGCAAAAGAAGCCCTTCATCTATCTTGATGTCGAATGAAGAGATCCTTGCTTGGGATCATTCTGCTTTCGTATCAAATGAAATTTGATACCACTATCTCCCCATTTTTTTTAATTGCTTCTATCTTATTCTTTGGCACATGAATGCACTGAAATCCTTGAGGTTTTGGGTCTTACCAACTCGAACTTAGATTTAGCAAAGTCTAGCATATGATTTCGCTTCCAAATCCCAAAAGCGAATGAGCCTAGCCTCCATGCCGAAGGATAGATATTACCTTGGTGTCGAATTACATGGTGTACTTGGTTAAGGTTCGAAAATTGTGACGATTCTTATCCAATTAAGAACAGCAAAAGATCCGATGGAGATGACGGTTCCAGATTTTCAAGGGAATCAAGGAGAACGTGATAATCGCTTTTATGACGTGGAGATTTTTACGGTGTCGGTTATGTAACCAACACAATACATGGGATTGTATTATTGGATACCAGTTCAAATTCAAAAATACCTCCGATTATAAAAGGAAGTTGATAATTTATTTATCAAACTTTATGCTCTCTAATCAAACCTCCAAGCACCCTAATTGTTCATTGTTTCCAAATTACTCCAAAATTATCTACGATGGCCGCTCCTCATCACACTGCTGATCCAACAACCACCAATGAAGAAGAAGTTTCGTAACCAATGATGAAGATCCAAACCACTAATCTTCGTCTGGTTCGATCACTTGATCAATACCCGGAGGCATTACAGATGCTTGTTCAAGCTTTGAAAAATTCTATGTTATCAACTGCACATTCATCTTCGTTAGCAACTCCGATGGAATGGATTTTAATTGCTGGTTTAACTGATGTATTCAACAAAACTACTAAGTTGGTTTCGTTTCAGCTGTCGAATTCAAAGACCAAGAAGCTCACAAGGAAGCAATTTGCCCAAATTTTGAAGTTACCAGTTTCAGGTACATTCTATGAAGTCTCGAATGATCAGGTGCTTCATATGTTTAATGAAATGGGGAATCAACAAAGTCTTACAGGAATAAGTCATTTTAAGAAGTCTCGTCTTCCCTGTACTTAGAGCTTTTTGTTTGGGATTGTTCTACGATGTTTAACAAGAAGAATCTCTGGGCTCGACAAAGCCAAGCTTGAAGTCTATTCAGTCATAGTAGGACTGTATTGTGGTCTGAATGTGGATTACGCTACACATATTTAGGAGGAGTTAAGAACCTCAATATCACACACGAACCTAACAAATGGTGTTTCGAGTGCTCAATTTTGGAGCTTGATTTTACAGGAGGTTTATCGTCAAGAGGATATTCTTGTTCCATCTAGTGTCGAAACTGCTGAGTTTCCGGTTATGGCTGCACCAAGGATTTTTGTTGATGATTCAGCTGTTTTCCCAATATTGCTCGTATTCCAGATGCGAATACTCAAGCTCGTGGATCCTAAAAATCAACTTCTAGTGCAATATTTGGCTTCGATTGATTTTTCTAATCCAACCGGGGTTCTTACACCAAAGGGGGTAGAAGGAACATCTAAAGCTTTAAAGGCTCCCAATAAGAAAAAACAAGTTGAAAAACCACCAAATTTGGAGGAGGAAGCTGTGAAAGAAACCATCCCATCGAAATCGGATGTTCTTAAGCGAACTAAGAAACCAGCAAAGAAACCTTCTGATTCTCCAATTCAGCAAACTACCCAAGAACCTATAGTCGAAAGTGTTGAGCCTAATACTGTTGAATCTTCAAATCCTATTTCTTCTTAGGGAGGTCCAACGGAGATTCGAAGAGCACACTTTACCAGAAAATGAGTTCTATTTTGTGAAGTACAGGTTCCTGGATCACTAGCCTCAAAGAAGCGAAGAGCTATGGATATGGCTCAAAAGTTAAACAAGAAGAAACGTGCAGCTCAAGTACCACTTGAGAACGTGACAATTGAAACTGAGCATGACAGTGAAAGTGAAAGGTCAGATATTTGAATCGAGGATTTATATCTTGGTTCACCTCGAAAGGATTCTCTTATCGAGTCGAATTTCGAGGAGACAGGGAATTTTGATGTCAATGTAAAAATATCTAATACGGATACAAACATCAATTCGAGTGATCTACAAAACACCAATATCCCTGAGAAGACTATTGTCAAACCATCCAGGGTTTCTAATACCGAGTCCAATATGGAGGAGGTCGAAATTCCAGACATCACTGTGGACTTATCTAATAAGGACACAAATATCAACATGGATGAAGGGATGAACAACAATGAATCCATTGTCATTTCTACCATCGAAACTTCTACCATTAACACCACTACCATCAAAACTTCAACCATCGAAACTTCAACAGCTTTACCACCATCTTCATCACCCATTCCAACGTTTGTTCCTGTTTCAACTATCTCACAAACATTTTTTGGTATCATGAAAGAACCGATTGCCTCTTTATTTTCATTTAATCCACTGAAAAATCACAACCCGAAAATGAAGCTGATGAACATCATGTCATGGTGGCTTTTGCTGATCTTCAGTTTGATCCAGACGAGGATAATACTCCTGATGAAATGATAATGTCAGGAAGACAATTGAAAATTTTAAACTCCAAAATGAATTCGATTTTACAGTTCTTGGATGATACATGAAGCAAGCATTCTGTAAGTGGAGTTGAAGTTGATTCTCTTCTCAAAGCGCAAGAGACTCGATTGCAAACTCTTAGAGATGGTGTTGACAAGCGAAATGGTGAAAAGATTCACAACCACTCTCAAACTCTTATTGGTGAAGTTTCTCAACTTCGTGATGTTTCGAAAGAACGTCATGAGCTTTTTGCAAAACAACTGGAGGAAACGAAAGTTTGTTTGCAGACTCAGATTTCTAATATTCGAAAGTTGTTGGAAATCTGAAATTAAAATTTTTTATGAAAGTTCTTCGATATTACATAAGAAACTTGATGTGGTAGCTGAAGCGTCAACCCGCTCGATTGAAGACATCTCTTCGTTCAACAAATATTACACAGTTAGTCTTCAAGACAATGGGAAAGGGGATGCTCAAGTATTTACCAGAGTAGAAGAGTTCTTATCCGAAATCAAAAACATGCCTTTAGCTCAATCGATAATTTTTCCATAATCCATATCTTAAATGTTTTCTAACATCGAAACAAACATTAAGGCTGAATTGGATCCGATAAGGAGGTTAGTGCTTCGACTCCCAATAAATTCTCCTTATGCAATGTGTGACAACCCGATATTTCAAGTCAATGTAATGTTCTAAAGTCAAGTATTGTAATCTATTTTTGATATAATAAAGAAATAGCGTCAAAAATGAAATGTTCAAAAGTCTCAATTGGGATACATAAAATGTTAGATATCGTGACAAGGTTTTCAGAAATATAAAGAGCACTCAAATCCGATTTATAACAAAGAAGTTATGACAAATTAAAAATCCGCGTCAAAACCGGTAAAACACTGTTAAGTGTAAAAAGTGAAATTTCAATAAAATACTTTTTAGCCTTAGATATCTAAACGAAAGTCGTAGATTATAACAAACCGTGAACGTACATAAAAATAACGTCCAAATATGACTTCGTATGAGGAAGTTATGATTTATCTAAGTTTCAGAACATCAGTAGACAGCTAAAAAGTCGAAATAAAGATCGAGCGATTTTTGGCCGACGCAACCTAAATGAGAATTGAAGGTCTCGACAATAGTAGTACAACGGTAAAAAGACAGACGAAAACGGACGTCGGATGAAGAAGTTATGAATTTTTAACGGATTTTTCCTGTCCCGGCCTATTAAAAATATATAATTAAAAATAAAGTCAAAATTTGCCTGCGAAGTCTAAAAGAGAGTTGTAGAGTATATTCTCACTTACGCGTGGATATAAAGAACGTCAAAAACGAAGCTCGTATGCGAAAGTTACGCAATTTAGAAGACCAGGGCACTCAAACCGGGGGGGGGGGGGGGGGGGGGGGGGTACGCCCAGCGTATGACGTACGCGGCCTCGAATCGGCCACGTCTCCCCTATGCCTCTCTACCCCCGTCCCATCCGAAGACTGGCAACCGATTAAGGCGTCATGCATGACGTACGCAGCGCGTACGCCGGTACGCCCAGCGTACTTCGGAGTACGCCAACCGTACGAGGCCAGATTCCCCTCCTATAAATAGGATGCAAGACTTCCGAGATTTAATTGCTAATTCACCACTTTCTCTCCCGATTTTCATACTTCTACTATCTCGAGACGACCCCGACACCCCGGTTTCATATCCAAGCTCCGATGAAGGTCCGAAGCTCCGAGGTTTCCGAAAAATCGACTTCTTTCCTGTCGAAGTGCTGCCCGAGAAAAATCTTGTTTTCTTCAAATCACCACACTTTCCAGGTGAGTTCATACCCCTATATTTTCACGTTTTTACTATACTTTTGGGGGGAAATACAAGTAAAACACAAGAAAAACTTATGTAAAAATACAAATCCTTACATATGGTTTCAAATGCTTCATCTACATTTTTGTTTATAAATGTTAAACAATATTACTACTAAAGTCACACTTTACATGCGAAGTTAGTAATACACCAAGTTTTATCATTTTAATGGAACACATTTTCGAAAAACTATAATAGGTATAGTTTACGAGTTATTCATGGCATTTTACATACTATAAACACTATAAAGAGGAAATACTTACATTTACAAGAAAGATGGACTTTTCATTTCGTAAATCTATTGATACTAAATTTTGTGAGACATTTGACTTCACCGTACTTCAAGTACAAATTTCAATTCCTGTATTATAAACCATAATATCTTTTAAGGAGAGCGTGATACTTGTGTATAGATCTAGACGGGATTGACAATCCCACACCTAAACTGTTAGCTACAGTTAGACCGACAGGTCTGGGGTGACAAACGTCATAACACTCTAACGCCTGAAAAACGTTGCTACAGGTAGTCTGGGTCAATAGCATGGTTATAAAACTCACATGGAGTATTCAAACATTTTGATTTACGGGGCTATCAAACGCATTAGTGATTATATATGCATATATAAATCTACTTACACTATTTTAAGTATGAAAAATACTTATGCATCCCAGTTTTTGTAACTTTTCAAACTACCACACATTTATGGAAAATATTGGATTTTCTAGAAACAAACTCAGTTATTTTATACAGAAAGGTATACAATTCTAATGCAAAAACGCTTATGAACTCACCAACTTAATTGTTGACACTTTTTCAAAACTACTTGTATTTCTCAGGGATTCAGTAATACAGGTAAAACATCAGCTTTTGGAGAAGGGACGCTAAGACGTCAGTTTCAAACTTATTAAATCATCATATTGTAATTTATTTTGAGACATGTATCACATTCAACAATGTAACTTTTAAATTATATTTATGATGGTTGTGTTTACTTTCTTTACAAATATTCAACTGTTATGATACTACATGAAGTCATCCGCCCCCGAATGTTTCCGCCATTCTGGTTTGGGGGTGTGTCAGATTGGTATCAAAGCATTGTTTATAGTGAACTAAGTATATCAAACCACATAAAATATACAGACTATAAATGCAAAGGGACTAAAAACCCTCCGACAAAACGTTTTCACACAAACTATACTTTTAATAAATTAAACTGCTAGTTTTATAAAAGTATAAGTACATGCATGCAACGGTCTAGTATCATAGTCAAAACTGTACAAAAGTATTAAGACAAGTTGGACACTATGATTAGGCCTCGGGGTATGTAATCAGATCGAGGATGAATATAGCCTGATCAACTATATTTATCCAAGATGTGACCAACGTATGTCGAGGAATAGTCATGGTGAGCAACAAGTCAAAAACTTACCAAAGAAAATACTAGAATCAAACTTACAAATTTAAAATACTATAGGAGTATTTTATGGCACCATAAAAACTGTATTATATGTGTAAACCTCGATATTTCGTTAGAATTAGGAATCGTCAAATAAATAGAATTATGCTTATCGAAAATTATATTTTTACTCTCAAGTTTATATATAATTCTCTTATCTCTATTCTCGATCAGACGAAATGGCAGGATTTCATATCCCTGGGGATCCCTACTACCCTAACCAGGGCAATGGAGGCTAGGTCGAGGAGGATCCCGAAGAGGATCCCGAGGAAGACCCTGAAGAAGATTCAGAAGAGGAAGAAGATGATGGGAGCACTGACTCGGAACCGGAGGTCTACAATCCTCCCCGGGGAGCAGTAAATCCTCGACAGAAATTTCATGGCCCGGCGCCCCGTTGGGGTGTGGATCTGAAGCGATGGAGCAGGGAACAAGGACAACACCCACCTTACGGCATGGGACAAGGCTTTTATAACCTCAGCAATGGAGGTTCGGCTGACAGGGCACTCCCTGTCATGGTTCTTCGCATCGCCAACCAAGACGAGCCAACAAGAGTGAACGCCAATCAGCTCTTGGACGTTGGCGCCACCGCTGCAGTCACTGCGGTACGTCTTCGTCGTCTGGATGAAGAACATGAGCGAACAATAGAGCACACCTTTTCCCTTTAGAAAGACATTACTGCTGCTAGAGCCGAAGTGAGGGAGTTCCGTAAAACCCAAGCCGCAATGGAGAGGCGCGTTATCGAGGCTGAACGTCAAGTAGCCCGAGCTCAGACTTCCACAACCACATACCATGGTCCGCAGCGTACCACCCGTTCATAGTTGAACTGGTACTTCTTGCGCTATGTTATAAATTAGACTTATCGAGTGAGCGTTGGTGCTACTCTTTCTTTTATGAATGTAAACCCGACGGATTGTAAGTACACAATTCGGGGGTCTAAATGCTGTCAAAATTTTCCCGCTTTCATTGATGTACCCTAGACCTATGTTAAGGTCAAATTTTCCCGATCGTTGTATCAAATATTGATATCAATGAGATTGACACGCATTATTAATTCATTGGGTATTTTCGTTAATGTCTAAAAATACTAAGAAATCATGTACTTATTTTGTAAGTTTCCATCTTTGCAACTAACTTACAAATTCAATAATGTTCAGAACGTAAAGCATATAACACTAGGACCCTCTATAACCATTACTGAAAACTTATCAAGAATTCGTATTTTAACTTATGGCAAAATCATGCCACCAAGGAGAATCCACGGCGCGTCAATACTACAGGAGCACCACCACCACCTCCACCACCACCATCAATGGACAGTGCTACTTTTCAGGCTGCTGTAACAGCTGTCGTGACCGCAGCAATGGCACAAATGAGTAACAACGGATCAGGAGGAGGAATAAATAGCTCTACTAATGGCTAAAACCAGGGTCGTTCCGGGGAATGTACTTACAAGGACTTCACCAACAGCAAACCCATACCCTTTAATGGGACTGGAGGAGTAATGGATCTATCTCAATGGATAGAGAAAACGGAAGCAGTCTTTGAGATATGCTCATGTCCAGAAGGGAGCAAGGTGAAATTTGCTACCTGCACTTTCTCCGAACGAGCCCTAACATGGTGGAATGGCCATGTTAAGTCACTAACTCTAGTAGTGGCTAAGTCCATGGGTTAGGAGAACCTGAAGCAAATGTTAATGCAAGAGTACTGTCCGAGGGGCGAGGTTCAGAAGCTCGAACAGGAGCTTTGGGGCCTTACTACGGTAGGTTCGGACATCACAACCTATACAGATAGGTTCACCGACTTAGCAATACTGTGCCCGGGAATGATGGCTCTAGAAAGCAAGAAGATAGAAAGATATATCTGGGGGTTGTCACCCCAGCTTCGAGGAAGTGTACTAGCTTCCAAGCCCGTTACATTCGATAGTTCCAAACAACTGGCACAGTCCCTTGACCATGGAATCTACCAAGGCGTCATGAGCATCGTCCCAGAACCAACCGAAGGAAGCAACAACAATAACAACAATTCC